TGGAGACAGAAGGATGGTGGGGAGGAGGAGGGGTAGACAAGAAGGATCATGGGGAGGAGGGGTGGTAGACATGAAGGATGGTGGGGAGGAGGGAGGCAGACAAGGATGAGGTGGGGAGAAGGGAGGGTGGTCTGACAAGAAGGATGGGTGGGGAGAAGGAGGGGTGGGTAGACAAGAAGGGAGGGTGGAAGGAGGGGTGGTAGACAAGAAGGACTATGGGGGGAGAGGGGTGGAGCAGGAAGAACAAGGGGGAGGAGGTGGTAGACAAGAAAGATTGCGGGGGAGGAGGGGTGGTAGACAGAAGGATTATGGGGAGGGGTAGACAGGAAGGATGGGTGGGGAAGGAGGGGTGGTTGACAGAAGGATGGTGGGGAGAAGGAGGGGTAGACAAAAGATGGTGGGGGGAGGGAGGGTGGTGAGACAAGAAGGATGGTGGGAGAAGGAGGTAGACAAGAAAGACTGGGTGAGGAGGGGTGGAAGACAGGAAGGATGTAGAGGAGGGGTGGTAGACAAGAAGGATGGGGGGGAAGGAGGTGGTAGACAAGAAGGATGGTGGGAAGGAGGCAGGACAGGAAGGATGGTGGGAGAATAAGGAAGAGACAGAATGACTGGGGATGATGGGTAGAAAAGAATGGTGGGGGAGGAGGCAGACAAGAAGACGTGGGGAGGAGGGTAGAGAAGAAGGATGGGTGTGGGGAGGAGGTAGACAGGAAGGATGGGGAGGAGGAGGTGGTAGACAGAAGATCAAGGGGGAGGAGGGGTGGTAGACAAGGAAGGATGGGGAGAAGAAGGGTGGTAGACAGGAAGGATGGTGGGAGGAGGGGTGGTAGACAAGAAGGGGATGAGGGGAGGAGGTAGACAAGAAGGATGTGGGGGAGGAGGGTAGACAGGAAGGGGATGGGGAGAAGGAGGGGTAGACAGAAGCATGGGGGAGGGGTGGTAGACAGAAGGGGTGGTGGGAGGAGGGGTGGGACAAGAAGAAGGTGGGGGAGAAGGAGGGGTAGACAAGAAGGATAGAGAAGGAGGTAGACAGGAAGGATGGTGGGGAGGAGAGGGGTAGACACGAAGGGACTGGGAGGAGGCAGACAAGAAGGAGGTGAGAAGGAGGGTGAGACAAGAAGGACGTGTTGAGGGGAGAAGGGTGTGTGGAGGAGGGCAGACAGAAGGACAGGGGAGGAGGAGGGCAAGACAAGAAGGACTAGGGGGAGGAGGGGGTAAGAAGGGACATGGGGGAGGAGGTGGTAGACAAGAAGACTGGGTGGGGAGGAGGTAGTAGAGCAGGAAGGATGGTGGGGGAGGAGGTGGTAGGACAAGAAATGGGGGAGGAGGGGCAGACAAGAAGGATGGTGGGGGGAGAAGGAGGGGTGGGTAGACAAGAAGGATGGTGGGGGAGGAGGGAGGTGACAAGAAGGACTGGGGGAGGAGGGGCGTAGACAAGAAGGATGTGGGAGAAGGAGGGGTGGTAGACAGAAGGATGGCAGAGGAGGGGTAGACAAGAAGGATGGTGGGGAGGAGGAGGGTAGACAGAAGGATGGGGAGGAGGGTGCAGACAAGAAGGATGGGGAGGAGGACAGAAGGATGGTGGGAGGAGGGGTGGCAGACAGGAAGGACGGTGGGGGAGAGAGGTGGTGAGACAAGAATGATGGTGGGGGGAGAAGGAGGGAAAATGAAATGATTCAGAGGAGGGGTGGTAGACAAGAAGGATGGTGGGGAGAAGGAGGGGAAGAAGGATCATGGGAGAGGGGTGGTAGACAAGAAAGATTATGGGGAGAGGGTGGTAGACAGAAGGATGGGTGGGGAGAAGGAGACAAGAAGGATGGTGGGGGTGAAGGAGGTGGCAGACAAGAAGGATGGTGGGGGAGGAGGTGGGGTAGACACAGGGAAGGATGGTGGGGAGAAGGAGGTGGCCGACGAAGGATGGTGGGGAGAAGGGAGGTGGTAGACAGAAGGATGGTGGGGGAGAAGGTGGTAGACAAGAAGGACTGGTGGGGAGGAGGTGGTAGACAGGGAAGGACATGGGGAGGAGGTGGGGGTAGACAGGAGTGATCATGGGAGGAGGGGTAGACAGGAAGGAATGATGGGGAGGAGGTGGTAGACAGAAGGATGGTGGGAGAAGGAGGGTGGTAGACAAGGTAGGTTGTGGGTGGAGAAGTAGTAGACAAATCATGATGATGGGAGGAGGGGCAGAGGTGGGCATGATGGTGGGATAATGAGGGTGGTAGACAGATGATCATGGGGAGGAGGGGTGGTAGACAAGAAGGCCTGGGGAGGAGGGGTGGAGACAAGAAGGAGATGTGGGGGATGAGGGGGTGGTAGACAAGAAGGATGGGAGGGAGGGGTGTGGAGAGGGAAGGGGATGGGGGAGGAGGGTGGTAGACAAGAAGGGTGGTGGGGTGAAGGAGGGTGGAGACAAGAAGGATAGGGGAGGAGGTGGTGACACGAAGGATGGGGAGAGGAAGGGTGGTAGACAGGAAGGGATATGGGGGAGGAGGGGTGGTAGGAAAAGAAGGTGGGAGGAGGTAGACAAGAAGGATGGTGGGGGAGGAGGTGGTGAGACAAGAAGGATGGTGGGGAGAAGAGGGGTGGTAGACAGGAAGGATGGTGGGGGAGGAGGGAGAGACAGGAAGGATCATGAGGAGGGGGCAGACAAGAAAGAGGTATGAGGATAAGGAAGACAAAGAGGGATGGTAGGGGAAGGAGGTAGACAAGAAGGATGGTGTGGGGGGAGGAGGAGGTGGGACAAGAAGGATCATGGGGAGGAGGGTGGTGGTGACAAGAAGGATAGGGGAGAGGTGGTAGACAAGAAGGATGTAGGGGAGAAGGAGGGGTGGTAGACAAGAAGGATGGTGGGAGGAGGGGAGGGTAGACAGGAAGGATGGTGGGGGTGGTGGACAGGGATGGTGGGGAGGGTGGTAGGAACAAGCGGCGCCTCACTTTCACTAAAGGCCAAGTGCGTATCAGCAGGTGAGTGGTGGGGTTGAACCACACGTCTCAGACATGTGGCGTGCACTTGCTCCTTCCTAGTTGCCGTCCCTCCCTCCTCCTTCCTCCCTCCTTCTCTCTCCTCCTACCTTCCCTGCCCTTTCCTGCTGCTTCCCTCCCAGGAGGGTGTTAATCTAATCAGTGTGTGAATGTACTCGGGTCCTCCTCCTCTCCCCTGCCTTAAACTTTCACTCCCCTCATCTCACCTCTCCTGCGCCAGGCACCCCTGACTCCTCATCTCCCCTCTCTCATGCCTTGGCTGACTCCCTCATCCTCCACCTCTCCTGCCTTCAGCACCCCTCCTCCTCATCCTCCACCTCTCCCTGCCTTAAGCACCCCTCCCCTCCTCCCCCCCCCCCCCTCCACCCCGAAGAAGATAAGTTGTTGTAATCCCAGCGTAAGTGTGAGTGCTGGAGTCAATGAAAAGGTAGGTGTGTGTGTGTGTGTGTGTGTGTGTGTGAACCCATCCCAAGTTACCTTAGACTCGAACCAAGATGGACACATGGGGTAAGTGGTTGGGAGGCTCAGTACAGCTGGGACAATCTGGCCAGGGGTAGATTTGATGTGGACCTGTTTTGCAGATCTCCTAAGCCCAGCCCCACTACCCACCCGACCTCCTGCCCAGCCCACAGCCCCACCAGCCTCCTACGCCAGTCCACCTACCCGATCTCTGCACGCCCAGTCCCCACCCTACCGACATAAATTGATTAAATTCCAATTCTACACCCAGCCCCATTTCCCACCAAACCTCTGCACTTGACCACCCTACCCCACTCAGCTGCAGCAGCCCAGTCTCCTCAGCCTCTTCAGCCTATGCAGTTCTTTCTGCCATCTTTTAAAATTCAGTACCACTCTCTTAAGTAGACTCCGCCTGACTCAACTTCAGCCCCAGGCTCCTTAGGCTCCAAAATGCGTTTCCTTTCACTTAAAATGTTCTCTACATATAAGATTATACTTGTGCACTCCTTCTATCTATTCAACCAGCACATGAATCTAATTGTAGATGGCTGCATCCTTTTCATATCCTGATTTTCTTTTTGCAATATCAGCCACGCCAATATGAAGAGAAGTCTTTCAAATGCTGCAGTAATATTCATGCTTTAAGTCAATAATTCCCTGTAGAAAACGGGATCGCCTGAAAGATTAGTCTCTATGCTTATTTCACTAAATTAACCTCCCTAACCTAACACAACAATGCAACGCAACACATCACCTTCTAACCTAACAAACTGCCTCCGAATGGCGCTAAGGGTGTTTAATCATTAGTTGAAATAAGCTGAGAAGAAGAAAGGGGGCTAACCTTAGGTGACGAAAAATATGATTAAAAATATAATTAAAATTTTGACGTTCATTACCAATATCCATCAGAAATTACATGGAAAAATGGTATCTCATCGTTTTTCTGTTTTTGTTACGCATCAAATCAGCTGTAAATGATAATTCTTTGGATGACTGACAAATTCATTCTGTCCTTAGTCGCTAAGATGAAAAGAAGTTGATAAACTGAAGTGAAAGATAGGTAGATTAGATAGATTGATAGACAGATAGATGATATTCATTCAGTAAGGAAATCGCCTGGAAGTTCCGCATACGCTGAACATGGTGAGCAGTAAAGTCGATTCAAGCAACATGATATGTTAGCAACCAGACAATTTAAGACATTGAAATAGAGGCCATTGACTTGAGGAAGCTGAGTAGAGTTATGGTTATAACAAATTGGGCATTAAGACGTGATAATCTAGATATTATTATTATTATTATTATTATTATTATTATTTTTTATTAATATGATTATTGTTTATTTGTTGTCTGGCTACGGTAGAAAGGGTGACAGTGAACGAAAGGAGATCTGATGATAAACATTTGAAGCAGTACTAAGATATGTGGCAGTTGAAAGCTTAAAGGGAACGGAGAGAAAGAATAAGATTAATTTGAAGAAAGGAAGCAGTCATGGCCCGACAGTTAAAGTCAGTCAGGGTAATGGCCATGTACCAAATTTGGATACATTATTCTCTACATTATCCCTTGGTGACTTCGGGTGTGTCTCGCAGTGGCAGTGCTGGCGGGTGTGTCTCGCGGTGGCAGTGCTGGCGGGTATATCGCGGTGGCAGTGCTGGCGGGTGTCTCGCAGTGGCAGCGTTGGCGGGTGTCTCGGTGGCGGCGTTGGCGGGTGTCTCGCGGTGACGGGCGCAGCGCGGGGTTATCTCGCGGTGGCGGTGCTGGCGAATTGTCTCTCCGCGGTGGCGGCGCTGGCGGGTGTCTCGCCAGGCAGCGCTGGCAGGTGTCTCGCGAGTGTAGCAGGTGTGTCTCGCGAGAGTGGCAGCGTTGGCGGGTGTCGCGGTGGCGGTACTGGCGGGTGTCTCGCGGTGGCAGTGCTGGCAGGTGTTGACTCGCGAAGGTGGGAGTGCTGGCGGGTGTCGCGAGTGGCAGTGCTGGCGGAGTGTCTCGCAGGCGGCAGCGTTGGCGGGTATCTCTGATGCTTGGCGTTGGCGGGTGTCGCGAGTGACAGTGCTGGTGCAGTGTCTTGTGAAGGCGATGTTTGTGAACGTCTTGTGGTGGCGGTGTTTGTAGGCGTCTTATGAGTGACAAGTGTTTGCCCAGGTGTCTTGAGTGACAGTGTTTGTGAGCGTCTTGTAGGTGGCAGTGTTTGTGAGCGTCTTGTGAGTTGATGACACACTATGTTGATGAAAGTTAAGTATTTGTGTGAGTTGGCGATCACAGATGACGACCCATCCTTCCTCCTCCATATCTCTTCCTCCCCTTTCCTCTCCCTCATCCTCCACTCCCCCTTACTCCTTTACACCTAACTCCTCCCCTATCTCCTTACTCCTCCTCCTATCTCCCTTTCCTCCCTCCCTCTCTGCTCTCCCTTTCCTTCCTCCTCTTTCACTCCTTTCCTCCTCCTCTCTCTATCTCCCTTTCTCCTCCTACCTCTCCCTTTCACTCCCTCCTCCCTATCTCCCTTTCATTCCTTCCTCCATATCTCCTTTCACTCCTCCCTCCCTCTCCCCTTTCCTCCCTCCCTCTCTCCTCTCCTTTCCTCCCTCCCTCTCTCTATCTCCCTTTCCTCCCTCCCTCCTATCTCCTTTCATTCCCTTCCTCCCATATCTCCCTTTCCTCCCCTCCCTCCCTATCTCCTTTCACTCCTCCCTCCCCTATCTCCCTTTCCTCCCTCCCTCCCTATCTCCCTTACATTCCCCTTCCTCCTTATCTCCCTTTCACTCCCCTCCTCTCTATCTCCCTTTCCACCTCCCCTCCTCCTATCTGCCTCCTCCCCTCCCTATATCTCCCCTTTCACTCCCTCCCCTCTCTATCTCCCTTTTCCTCCCCTCCCCTCCCTATCTCCCTTTCTCCCTCCTCCCCTATCTCCCTTTATTCCTTCCTCCACTCCACTGCCTCCCTCCCCTCCCTCCCCTCTTCCCCTTTGCTCCCTCCCCTCTCTATCTCCCCTTTTCATTCCTCCCTCCATATCTCCCTTTCAATCCTCCTCCTCCCTATCTCCCTTTCCTCCCCTCCTCTCTATCTCCTTTCTCCCTCCCTCCCTCCCCTGCTCCCTTCCTCCCTCCTCTCTCTCGCATTCCCTCCCTCTCTCTGTCTTTTCCTCCCTCCTCCCTCCCTATCTCCCTTCCTCCCCTCCCTCCCCTATCTCCCTTTCCTCCCTCCTCCCTACTTCCTTCCTTCACCCTCCCTATCTCTTTCCTCCCTCCCTCTCTATCTCCCGCACCCCTTCTCCCTCTCTGCTCTCCCTTTCCTCCTCCCTCCCTACTCTCCCTTTCCTCCTCCCTCCCTATCCTCCCCTTCCCTCCCCTCCCTCCCCTCCCCTTTCCTCCCTCCTCTCTATCTCCTTTCCTCCTCCCTTCCTATCTCCTTTCCTTCCACCTCCCCTACCCTTTCCTCCCTCCCTCCCCTATCTCCTTTCCTCCCTCCCCTCCCTATATCTCCCTTTCCATCCCTCCTCCTGTCTCCCTTTCCTCCCTCCCTCTATCTTCCCTTTCCTCCCCTCCTCCTATCTCCCTTTCCTCCCTCCCTCTCCCTATCTCCCTTTCTTTCTCCCTCCCTCTCTATCTCCCTTTCCCTCCCTCCTCCTCTCCCTTTCCTCCCTCCTCCCCTATCTCCTTTCCACTCCCTCCTCCCTATCTCCCTTTCACTCCTCCTCCCTCTCCCTTTCCTCCCCTCCCTCCCTATCTCCTTTCCTCCCTCCCTCCTATCTCCTTTCTCCCTCCCCTCCTATCTCCCTTTCCTCCCTCCTCTTACTCTCCTTTCCTCCCTCCCTCTATCTCCCTTTTCCTCCCTCCCCTCTCCCCTTTCTCTTCCCTCCCTATCTCCTTTCACTCCCTCCCTCTGTCTCCCTTTCCTCCCTCCCTCCCTATCTCCCTTTCTCCCCTCCCTACTCTCCTTTCCTTCCTCCTCCTATCTTCCCATCCTCCCTCCCTCCCTATCTCCCTTTCCTCCCTCCCTCCCCTATCTCCTTTTTTCCCTCCCTCCCTATCTCCCTTCCTATCCCTCCTCCTATCTCCCTTTCCTCCCCTCCCCTCCCTATCTCCCCTTTCCTCCCTCCCCTCCCTATCTCCCCTTCCTCCCTCCCCTCCCTATCTCCTTTCCTCCCTCCCTCCCTATCTCTTTCCTCCCTCCCTCCTATCTCCCTCCCTCCCTCCCTATCTCCCTTTCCTCCCTCCTCTATCTCCCTTTCACTCCCTCCTCTCTCTCTCCCTTTCCTCCCTCCTCCCTATCCCTTTCCTCCTCCCTCTCTCTCTCCCTTTCTCCCTCCCCTCCTCTCCTTTCCTCCCCTCCTCCCTCTCCCTTTCCTCCCTCCCCTCCTGTCTCCCTTTCCTCCTCCCCTCCCTATCTCCCTTTCATTCCCTTCCTCCATATCTCCCTTTTCATTCCCTCCTCCTTATCTCCACCCTCCCTCCCCTCCTCCTTCTCCCTTTCATTCCTCCCTCTCCTCTCCCTTTCCCCTCCCTCCCTCTCCTCTCCATTCCTCCCTCCCTATCTCCCTTTCCTCCCTCCCTCTCTCTCCTTTCAGTCCCTCCCTCCCTCTCTCCCTTCCTCCCTCCTCCCTCCCTATCTCCCCTTTCATTCCCTCCTCTCTATCTCCCTTTCATTCCCTCCCCTCCATATCTCCCTTTCTCCTCCCTCTCTATCTCCCTTTCTCTCCTCCTCCCTATCTCCCTTTCTCCTCCCCTCCCTCCCTCCCTCCTCCTATCTCCCTTCCTCCTCCTCCCTGTCTCTTTCCTCCTTCCTCTCTATCTCCCTTTCACTCCCTCCCCTCTCTATCTCCCCTTTCATTCCTTCCTCCATATCTCCTTTCATTCCCTCCCTCCTGTCTCCCTTTCCTCCCTCCCTCTCCTCTCCCTTTCCCTCTCTCTCTATCTCCCTTTCCTCCTCTTTCTCTATCTCCCTTTGCTCCTCCCTCTCCTCTCCTTTCCTCCCTCCTCTCCCTCCCTTTGTTCCTTCCTCCTCTCCCCTTCTTCCTTCTCCTTTCCTCCTCCCTCTCTCCCCTTTCATTCCCTCCTTCCTATCTCCTTCCTCCCTCTCTCTCTCTCACTTTCCTCCCTCTCTCTCTCTCTCCCTTTCCTCCCTCCTCTCTATCTCCCTTTCTCCCTCCCCTCTATCTCCTTTGCTCCTCCCTCCTCTTCTCCCCTTTCTCCCTTCTCCATATCTCCCTTTTTCCTCCTCCCTACTCTCCCTTTCCTCCCTCTCTCCCTCTCCCTTTCCTCCCTCTCTCTCTCCTCCTCCCTCCTCTCTATCTCCTTTCTCCCTCCTCCCTATCTCCCTTTACTCCCTCCCTCTCTATCTCACTTTCCTCCCTCTCTCTCTATCTCCCTTTCATCCCTCCTCTCTATCTCCCTTTCCTCCTCCCTCTCTATCTCCCTTTCCTCCCTCCTCTCCTATCTCCTTTCATTCCTCCCTCTCTATCTCCCTTTCATTCCCTCCTCCCTATCTCCTTTCCTCCTCCTCTCTATCTCCCTTTCCTCCTCTCTCTCTTCTCCCTTTCCTCCTCCTCTCTATCTCCCTTTCATCCCCTCCCTCCCTGCTCTCCCCTTTCCCTCCTCCTCTCTATCTCCTTTCCTCCTCCCTCTCTATCTCCCTTTCATTCCCTTCCTCCATATCTTCCTCATTCCCTCCCTTCCTATCTCCCCTTTCCTCCCTCTCTCCTTTCCTTCCCTCTCTCTCTCTATCTTTCCTTTCCCTCCCTCTCTCTCTATCTCCCTTTCCTCCCTCCTCTCTATCTCCCTTTCATTCCCTCCCTCTCTATCTCCCTTTCATTCCCTTCCTCCATATCTCCCTTTCATTCCTCTCTCTCTATCTCCCTTTTCCTCCTCCTCTCTATCTCCTTTCATTCCCTCCCTCCCCTATCTCCCTTCCTCCCTCCCTCTATCTCCCTTTCCTCCTCTCTCTCTTCCCCTTTCCTCCCTCCTCTCTATCTCCCCTTTCCTCCCTCCCTCTCTATCTCCCTTTCCTCCCTCCCTCTCTATCTCCCTTTATTCCCTCCCTCTCTATCTCCTTTCGTCCCTCCTCCCTATCTCCCTTTTCCTCCCCTCTCTATCTCCCTTTCATTTCCCTTCCTCCATATCTCCTTTCCTCCCTCCTCTCTATCTCCCTTTCATTTCCCTCCTCCTATCTCCCTTTCCTCCCTCCCTCTCTATCTCCCTTTCCTCCCTCTCTCTCTCTATCCTTTCCTCCCTCCTCTCTATCTCCCTTTCCTCCTCCCTCTCTATCTCCCTTTCTCCTCCTCTCTATCTCCCTTTCATTCCCTTCCTCCATATCTCCTTTCACTCCCTCTCTCTCTCTATCTCCCTTCTCCTCCCTTTCTTCCTCCCTTTCTCCCTCCCTCTCTATCTCCCTTTCATTCCCTCCTCTTATCTCCCTCCCTCCCTCTCTCTCTATCTCCCTTTCATTCCTCCTCTATATCTCCCTTTCTCCTCCTCCCTCCTCCCTATCTCCTTTCCTCCCTCCCCTCTCTCCCTTTCATTCCTCCCTCTCTATCTCCCTTTCCTCCCTCCCTCTCTCTCTCCTTTCCTCCCTCCCTCTCTATCTCCTTTTCATTCCTCCCTCTCTATCCCTTTCCTCCTTCCTCTCTATCTCCTTTCATTCCTCCCTCTCTATCTCCTTCTCCCTCCCTCTCTCTATCTCCTTTCTCCCTCCTCTCTATCTCCCTTTCCTCCCTCCTTCCCTATCTCCCTTTCCTCCCTCCTCCCTTTCTCCCTTTCCTCCTTCCTCTCTATCTCCATTTCCTCCTCCTCCCTCTCCCTTTCACTCCCTCCTCTCTATCTCCCTTTCTTCCTTCCTCCATATCTCCCTTTCACTCCCTCCTCTCTATCTCCCTTTCCTCCCTCCTCTCTATCTCCCTTTCATTCCTCCCTCTATATTTCCCCTTTCTCCTCCCCTCCTATCTCCTTTCCTCCCTCCTCCTATCTCACTCCTTCCCTGCCCAGTGTTGTGTTAATGTTAAGTCACTGTTGTTGTGTAACTTATTTAAGTACTGCGCCTCCAATACTCCCAACTTAAAATCTCAAGACCCCAGACGACCTCCAAAGCCTCCTGCATCATCAACACCACCTCCAAAAGCTC